CATCTGGCATGGTGGTGTGCCTTGAGATTTTTTTCATGAAACAAGTGTGCCTTTGCCCAAAAAAGGTTGGGAAACACTGTGTTAAACCACAGAGCCTAGGACTTCCGGAGGCAGCGCAAAACGGCAATGGCGGTCCTCTTCGCGCTGTGAAGGGGAGCTCTGCAGAAAAGGGTCGCCTGCTGCGGCAAAGCGGGGACCCATCAAGAAAAACCACAGGTAGAGTGAGCCTGTGGCCGTGGGACTCGGCGGGCACCAGAAGCCCCCCAGAAACGGAGAAGGAACCCCGTAAGGGGCTCCGGAACGCGGAAGGGGGAGCGGTGCTGTGAGTTCATCGCTCTTTCTGCGGAAGCGAAGCCGCGCGGCTGCTGCCGATGAGCGCCAACCTTTCTTCTTGGAACATCAGACTCTAAACTACGAACCCGTGAGTAGGGGAACTTAAATTTTCGGGGCTAAAGAAATCAAATTTGGCCGAAAACGGGGACGCAACCAGGAAGTCCGTCTCCCCACTGTGCTTAAAAGATCAAAGTAAAGATTTTGACAAGCTGGAATTACTTCAAAAGAACTTTAAAAGGGTGGATTTTCGTGCAACAATTGACTTTGCTTTTAAGAGATTGAGAAAGACAAGCTTGCTTTACTTTAGCGGACTTTGAACTGTACTTTTCCCTTTGTTTTGTGGATTTATAAATGTGGAGTAACCCAAATTCACGGGCTGCCAGGTCGGAAGAACTTTCAAATTGCTGAAACTGTTTAAATATTGAAAGTGTTACATCGGAGCGCTATAGCTTGGATACAAATGGGGAAACTGTTTCCCGCACCTTTTTAGAGACTTTGTTTCAACTTTGGGAAAGTTCTGCACGTTAAAAGGGAGTTGAAGGATCCTGTTAAAACACTTTAAACCGCTGGGATTTTAATGGCGGAACAACTTTATTCTTTCCTTTGAGACATTGCTGTACTCCCCCTAGAGGATTTTGGATTTACAACTGCCTGGGATCCATTTCCTGTTTTGATTTTCTGCTGCCTTGTTGTTGACTCTCTGGAACTGTCTTTCCCATGGGATTCTATATAACCTGACCTTGGCACGTAGACAGGATTGGAATGAGTGGCACAGGAAAACCAAGATTGGCTAAAACGAAAGCAAAACAATTGGTACAAACAACCTTGACATCCCAGCCATCTCAGCCTCGCAGATCATCTGTCCCAGCTGTTTTAGGGGCACAAGAAGTAGTTGAGCAGACATTATCAGAGGATATGGCTTCAGGAGGATCTGCAGCAGTATTAGAACAAATTTTGGGACAACTGCAAACTTTAAACAAGAAGGCGGATGAGCATTCGGTTAAAATTGACCAAGCCACAGCCACTATTAGTAAATTGACAGAACAAGTTGCTCAACATACACAAGAAATTGGGAACCTTAAGGAAGCCACAGTAGAAAATCGCAAATTGGCTGAGAAAGAGGGGGGTTTGCCCTGCCGGACTTAAGGTTATATTATGAAGCTGCGGCTTTCTGCTGGATGAAAGATTGGTTACTTCTTGAGAACACTGATGTCCTAGATCTGGAAGGGTTCAATAATGCTTTTGGATGGCATGCATATTTGTGGTACGACAAGGCAAAGGTTCACAAAGGGTTCAAAAACCATATTGTCAGAAAAGCAATATTTATTGTCTCGACAAAATACAAAGACTTATTGGAAAATAAAACTCCGAGATGGTTATCACCAATGGAGGCTAAGGCCCGGAAAAGACCTAATATGGAGGCCAGTTGGCCGAAATATTGGGAAATAATAGAAAAAACTGGAGAAAAATGGATTTTGCAGAGCTTGGAGAAATTAAAGAGTAAGGTGCGAGATTGGTTACATTACGCTCAAATTAAAGAGGTTTTTAATTTGGATAAAAAGATAGGATTCCAGGTGGAAAAATCGAAATTAGAGACAGAACTGTTAGAACCAAAGACTAAGGTACTTTCGAGAATGTATAACTTGCTGCTTAAATGGAATACTCAGGATGAGACAGTTAAATCAGCCATGATAAAATGGGCTCAGGATATTGGGCATAACATCATGTTTGAGGACTGGGAAATGTTATGGACCACCGGAATAAAATTCACGGCATGTAATGCTTTGAAGGAGAACATTATAAAAATGATATACAGGTGGTACATGACTCCAGTCAAGCTAGCAAAAATATATCACCTGTCTGATAACAAGTGTTGGAAATGTAAGGAGGCTGAAGGAACATTCTTTCACCTCTGGTGGACCTGTCCAAGAGTGAAGGCTTTCTGGGAAATGATCTATAATGAGTTAAAAAAGGTATTTAAATATACCTTCACTAAGAAACCAGAGGCCTTCCTCTTGGGCATTGTCGGCCAGAAAGTGTTAAAAAAAGATAGAACTTTCTTTATGTATGCGACTACAGCAGCATGGATACTTATTGCAAAGTATTGGAAGACACAAGATTTGCCCACACTGGAAGAATGGCAGATGCAATTGATGGACTACATGGAACTGGCGGAAATGACTGGCAGGATCCGAGATTTGGGACAAGAAACAATGGAAGAGGACTGGAAAAAGTTTAAGGACTACTTACAAAAACAGTTTAAGTTGTATGAATCTTAAGAAATTGCACGATCTAGAAAAATATTGTTCCAGTAAATTTATGGTAAACTTAAGTTATAATTAATTGATAAAAATTACTTTAAGTTAAGAAACATAACATCTGAGAAATACAAAATAAGGTATGACACAAGGTAACAATTTGCTGATAATTTTTACTGCCAAGAACGCAGGGTAAGGGAGATGTGAGGAAGTCCAACAAGTTATACAAAAAAGATATGAAAAGCTTTGTTTTCTTTTTCTTTTATTTTCTTTTTTTATGTATAATGTTGATGTATTTGTGTGTTTAAGATGTGTTTTATGTTTGAAAACTGAATAAAAATATTTATATATAAAAAAAAAAACCACAGAGCCTAGGGCTTGCCGATCAGAAGGTCGGTGGTCTGAATCCCCGTGACGGGGTGAGCTCCCGTTGCTCGGTCCCTGCTCCTGCCAACCTAGCAGTTCGAAAGAACATCAAAGTGCAAGTAGATAAATAGGTACTGCTCTGGGGGGAAGGTAAACGGCTCCCTCGGCGAGTAAAGCGAGATGAGTGCCACAACCCCAGAGTTGTCCGCAACTGGACCTAATGGTCAGGGATCCCTTTACCTTTACTTGAAGGACCAAACCACGATGTAGCTGTGCTCTTTTCCATCCCTTTCCAAGAATTACAACAATCTGTTCCTTAAAATGGTTCAGCCTCCACCACCTTTACTGCTGTCAACTGAAGGCTACCAACTGTGCCCTGGGCCCCCCGATCTTTCTCACTGCCAATGAAAACTAATAAATGAAAAGGAAGAGAAGCTACCCATGTCACACTGACACAAACACCTTGCGTATGAACTTCGTAAAATAATGAAAGTGTACTACCCCTCCCCCCGCTCACTCTCCCCACCTCTCAATTCCCCAGCCTTACACTGTATACAACATTAAAGTCTGTCTGTCTGTCTGTGAATTTTTATGATATCCAAAGTAACAGAGTAGCTTATAGCTAGGAAGCCAAATAGCTATTTTAGGTGATAGTTCCTTTTTACAGACTATACAGTGGCCAGACTCTTGCTATTCAAAAGAGCTTTACTTTCATAATCATATAACTGAGGAGAATAGAAGAGGAGTCTGCAACCTGAAGCATATGTAACACGAGGTACCACTGTACAATCTTCTGCTTATTCAAACATGGGCACGTTCTCCCTTGAATTCTCTTATAGTTTCTTATGAAACATTTTTCTTTCACATCAGCAGTATTGTCTCTGTTTCTGCACAGGTTTCTGCTTATTAACATTTAGTTGCCGCCAGGACCACATAACACCGGTCCTGAGAGATCTGCATTGGCTCCCAGTACGTTTCCGAGCACAATTCAAAGTGTTGGTGCTGACCTTTGAAGCCTTAAACGGCCTTGGTCCAGTATACCTGAAGGAACATCTCCACCCCCATCGTTCAGCCCGGACACTGAGATCCAGTGCTGATGGCCTTCTGGCGGTTCCCTCATTGCGAGAAGTGAGGTTACAGGGAACCAGACAGAGGGCCTTCTCGGTAGTGACACCTGCCCTGTGGAACGCCCTCCCTTCAGATGTGAAGGTAATAAGCAGCTATCCTATCTTTAAAAGACATCTGAAGGCAGCCCTGTTTAGGGAAGTTTTAAATATTTAATGCTGTACTGTTTTTAACACTTGATTGGGAGCCGCCCAGAGTGGCTGGGGAAACTCAGCCAGATGGGCAGGGTATAAATTAATAATAATAATAATAATAATAATAATAATAATAATAATTTTTATTTATGCCCCGCCCTCCCCAGCCAAGGCCGGGCTCAGAGCGGCTTACAAGCAATAATAAAAACAAGTTGAATGATTACAACTTAAAAGCAAAATTAAAATACAACATTAAAATATTGAAACATTAAAATATTAAAATGTAGCCTCATCGCAGGAAGAGAAAGGAAAAAAAGAAAGGGAGGGAGGGAGGGAGGGAATCAAATTGGCTCCAAGCCAAAGGCCAGGTAGAACAACTCTGTCTTACATGCCCTGTGGAAAGAAATCAGATCTTTCAGGACCCTGGTCTCATGAGGCAGAGCGTTCCACCAGGCCGGAGCCAGAGTTGAAAAGGCCCTGGCTCTGCTTGAAGCTAATCTAACTTCCTTTGGGCCTGGGACTTGCTATTTATGGACCTTGAGGCTCTCCGTGGGGCATACTGGGAGAGTCGGTCCCATAGGTACGAGGGTCCTAGGCCGTGAAGAGCTATATAGGTCAAAAGCAGCACCTTAAATCTGACCCTGTACTCCACCGGGAGCCAGTGCAGCTTGAAAAGTACTGGGTGAATATATTCCCATGGCAGAGACCCCGTGAGCAGCCTCGCTGCAGTATCCTGTACCCACTGGAGTTTCTGGGACAGCTTCAAGGGCAGCCCCGCGTAGAGCGAATTACAGTAGTCTAGCCTGGAGGTGACCATCGCATGGATCACTGTGGCCAGGTCGGGGCGGGAAAGGTAAGGGACCAACTGCTTGATGACAACGAAAGGGTATAGAAAGGGGAAGTTTTTGGGTTTCTCTAAAAACCGTCGGACTATTTTGTACACAATTTCAAGGTAACATTACACTTTATTTCCGCTTTTTCTTACATGGGACTCGAACTCACAACCTTGAGATAAAGCACCTCACGCTCTACCGACCAAGTTAAGACAGCTCAGTGATTTGTGTACACGGGGACACAGATGGCGGCGTGTGAACTTCCCTAGAGAAGGGTGCAAAAAGCTTGTTCCCTGCTGCTCCAGAGCTAGGAATGGACCAGATCTCATCGGGCTAATCCATTTGCCCCGACAGCTAAGAGCAGAACCCTCCAGGATCAGAAGCAGCGGGCTGCAAATTCGAGGGCAAGGGAAGCAGCAGGGCGGTCTCGCAGCCCTCGCCTTGCAAGGGGGCGCATCCAGCCTTGCAGCCTCCCAGGGCCCAACCCACAGCCAGCGAGCTCCGATGCCCAGAGAGGCAGGAAATGGGGCCAGCCAGGGGGACTCGAGAGCGGCTGCACTTTCCTGTCCCCCGCCGAGGCCCGTGGCCTGGCGAGTTTCCCCAGAGAGGAGCCGGATTCTGCAGCAGGGACGGAGCGAGGAGTCCGAGGTGCAGGAGGCGGGAGGACGAGGAGGAGGAGAGCACGTGGGCCTGGCAGGATCAGGCCCGGAGTCCAGCCAGAGGCTGCAGGACGCCCCCCAACCGGGCAGGAAGGGGAAGGGGCGGAGCTCAGGGGCAGGGCATCTGCAGGAGGGCACAGGGGCAAACATCTCTGGCTCAGGCTGGCACGGACCCTGCCGGAGACCCTGGGGAGCTGCTCCCTTCAGTCCTGAGCTCAAGGGGCAGAATGAGGGGTCCAAGGCAGCTGCTGCTTCGCGATGGACGATGCATATAGTCGTCCCATGATCAGCGGCGTCGTTGGGGCTTTTGCCTCCCGGGGCGGTCACTGAGTCTGCCGCCCCTCTCCCTGTCCCTCAGCAGGGAGCCCAGCCCATTTCGACGGTCCTCCCCAAGGCGGAGAGGGAAGGGGAGGCGGGGGGGGGAGGAAGAGCAGTGCAGCAGGGAGGTGCCCCTCTCACACTGCAGCCCCCCTGATCCCCCTTCCTCTGCCAGTGCCATTGATAAACCTATCGCCCTCCTTGAATTGGTCGCCTTCTAAAGCTCTCTTTGCCACCACCATCACCGCATCTTGTGGCAATGATGTCCATCAGATTCATTTAGCAAGAAAATGGCTTCTTTTGCTTGCCCCAAATCAAGGTACACTGTGCCTACACATGGAGGCTCTGTTGATCAGTGACGGCTAATAAAATAACTGATAGATTTACTCCCTGGAGAACGCATCTGATCTTTCCCCAAGCTGTCAAAGCTGGCCTCTTGTGTCTGCATGTGAATAAGTGAGACAAACTTAAGCCTGTTTCATTAATTGTTTTATTTCCACCTTCCTCAGTAAGGCAGCAGAGTTTTGAGATGAAGACTGAGGGCTGAAGTGGGTGACAGTTTTGAGAATGCAGAGGAAAGGAGGATTCTTCAGAAGTGTGGCATATGGAAATGAATTAATGATAATAAAAACGTTGAAGACAGTATTGTAAAAGACTGAGGAAGGCAAAATTGAAATTAGCTAGTCATAATAAAAAAATTCCTTCCAGTAGCACCTTAAAGACCAACTAAGTTAGTTCTTGGTATGAGCTTTCGTGTGCATGCACACTTCTTCAGATACACTGAAACAGAAGTTGCCATATCCTTCTATATAGTGAGAAGGTGGGGAGGGGTATTACTCAGAAGGGTGGTGGGAATGGGTGATTGGCAGATAGCTGGCAATCTAACTTCAAACTGTGCTTGGTCAAAACAGGAAACTCTGGTTGATCAGTGGCTTCGTGGTTTGACTGATCCCACTGATAGCAGTAAAAATAGGAAGCCCTGTTGTGTTCGAAGGGGTTGTTTGGACAGAGTCTCTGATCAGCATGCGTAGCAGGACAGGCTTAAAAAGGTAAAGGGACCCCTGACCATTAGGTCCAGTCGTCACCAACTCTGGGGTTGCAGCGCTCATCTCGCTTTATTGGCCGAGGGAGCCGTCATACACCTTCCAGGACATGTGGCCAGCATGACTAAACCGCTTCTTGCGAACCAGAGCAGCGCACGGAAATGCTGTTTACCTTCCTGCCAAAGCGGTACCTATTTATCTACTTGCACTTTGATGTGCTTTCGAACTGCTAGGTTGGCAGGAGCAGGGACCGAGCAACGGAACTCACCCCATCACAGGGATGCAAACCGCCGATTATTATTACTTGCATCCTGCCTATCTGACTGGGTTGCCTCTGCCCATCTGGGTAGCTTCCAACAAAATAAAAAACATCAAAAATTTCCTTGTAAAAGGCTGCCATCGGAAGTCTTCCATTTTGTAGAAATGGCCTTCAGTTTTAAAGAATTGCCCTCTTTAAGGAATCACGTGGTGTAAACATGTAAGTTGTCCTCTAGGTCCAAACACACACATAGTAGGAGCAAGCAGTGCTCTAAAGTGCTTATCTTGCGAACTTGCCATCTAAGTTGTTTACTCCTGACCAAAGCTCCTGTTTCCCAAAAGGACAGGAGGGGGAGCAGAGGAGGAAAGGGATGGGATTGAAGGCTCTTTCATCAGCTGCCTCTCTTCCCTGAGGAACAAGAGCAAAGGGTGTTTGCAGGGCAGGAGGACAGAGGAGGAGGCAGCGAGGGCAGAGGGGCAAGTGGGCGGATCCACTGCCCCTCCCAGGGGGTCCTGATGCAAGCAAGGGGCTTCCTTCTTCTCCATGCAAGGGCCACCCATGTGTTCAGAGCAGTCCTTTGCAGATTAACTCTTAAGTTCCAAGGGATCTCCTCTCAGGCCACTAATGTGCATACCATGCCAGCCTTAGGAAGGGAGGTGGGAGAGGCAGGTGAAAGGAATTGGCAAAGGTGTTTGAAAATGGGTGGAGGCTCTTGGGAAGGGGGTGCCTGCTTGTGAATGAACTTTATTATTGTCACAGACCAGGATTAAAAAAGCATATAGATAAAATAGCAGTTAGGATTTTTTAAACCAATAATTGTTAGAGCAAATTAGGACATGGAAACGCATAGGATAAAACATCTAAATAAAATACAAGATTAAACACGGATAATGGATGGATAAAAAAACTGATAATTAAAACAGATAAGAACTAAAAACAAACAAAGTCACACAGTTAAAACAACTGTAAGAGCATAAGAACTAAAAGACTCGCAGTTAAAACAACCATAAGAGACTGCAGAGTAGAAGCCTCTTAAATAGAGGACACTCACAACATTAGAAACTGCTGTGCAAATATGGTTAAAACAGAAAATTAAAACAATGTTCAACGCTAAATTTAGAAACAATGTATAACAATAAATTGTCCCAGGGAGTTGTCTCAGAGTCACCCATGGAACCGTGTTTGGGGCTTTTCATGTCGGACTATTTTGAGTTGGGCGATGGTCTGCGCCTACAAAATGTGCACAGAATCTGGCGACCATCCAGGTCATCTTTTGATCTTTGCCTAACAGCAAAAGGTCAAATTTTTGCTTTTGCGGGAGGTCGGCTAGCCTCACCAGTAGGGGATCCATGATCTTACTACGTGCCTCTTTATAAAAGGGACATCTAAAGAAAAAGTGTTCTGGGCTTCCTATCTCTCCCAATGGACAGGTGCAAAGTCTCTGAGCATACGGGACCCTTCTGAAGGCTTCATCCAGGACCGGCGAGGGAAGAGCCGAGCTTCTGGCGAGTGTAAAGGCCCTTCTTGCATCCCTAGATACGAGAAAGAAGAGATATGCTGCTGGTGCGGCTATATATCTCTCGATTTCTCCAATTCTATAGTCGGGGCACCTTGCACAGTCCTGCTGTCTCTCAGTGTCTAATATTCTTTGCCTGACCGTAGCTTTTGCCTGGCCCAAGCCCAGACTTAGAAGGGCTTGAGGGGCAAAACCCAGTTTCCGGAGGGTGTTCAGGACTGCAGTCTGCAGGCCGACTGGAATTGGTCACAGAGGATCAATGGGGCTATCCCTCGGGGGAGCAGGTTCAATGTCAGCCATTTGTAGATTGCTATTAGGCAGATGCTAGTCTCCACTCTCATCATCCCCGTTCCACATCTAACCCATGCGTTTGAGACACATCTGGGGACTTGGAGGAGAGGTCTAAGAAGTCTAGATTGAACTCTCTCAAGGGGGGAGAAAGCAGAGGAAGGTGGGCCCAAAAATGAACCATAGAGGAGTTTGTGCCAAAGATTTGGCCTTGTATAATTTTAGAGCTTCGGGAATGAAGAAACCCCCTTGTGCTCTGAAGAATTTAAGGATACAATTAGTGTTTTTTTCCGCTAGGGGGTGCCCAATTGGGGCTTCTCCAGGGGCAGCGGAATGTCTTGGGCAGGAGAATCCCTGCAGGGGCTCTCAGACTCCCTTGGCTTCTTCTTCTTCCCTCCCTCCCAGGAAGCTGCAACTTGCTCTGGATTCTGCGCTCCTCGGAAAGCTGAACCTGCAAACCTAGCTGAGACTGAACCTGCAACCCTGGCCAGGATGGAAGGAGGAAGATGGACGGGTGACCTGGTTAGGCTGTCTCCCGCATCCCTCCCCACAACCTCTGAGCATTCCCACCAGGACCCTTGGAGAAATCTGGTGAGTTCCAGGGGAGAGGAGATGGGGACAGGGATAGATGGATGGTGGAGGGAGAAAGAGGAAAAGATGGAGAGGAGACAAATGGAAGGAAGTTCCTGACAGGAAGAAGGAAGGGGTGAGGCCTTCTCCAAAGCAGCTCTTTGTTTCTTGAATCCTTTTCCTAAAGTAGTGGGGGCAGATTTTCTTCCTCCAGGCTTTGAAATCTTAGGTGTTATTTCAACGGCAGGATTAATTGATGATAATGATGTTGCACACCAGTACTGAAAAATGGGTGAAGGGGAATGAAATGCTTTGCATAATTATTTATAATTAATGTATTTAAATTGTTTCTATTACTCTTATTTTTTATAGACAGGGTCAGAATGATACATTCCACCAGCATCAAAACACAATAAATGCATGCACCTCCCCAGTTTGGTGGGGTTAAGGGACAAAGGACCAGTTATCATGATACACAATTCCTGTGACTGGAGGCTCTGCATTTAGGATTGGGCATATAAAGTCCAAGAGCGGCTGGTATTATAAGCAAACTGTGTAAACTTGCCAATCTTACAGACTGGGGTTGTTTGTGTGAGTGAGTGAGTGAGTGGGTGAGTGAGATAATAATTTTAGCAATCCTGTGTAATGGCTTGGTTCTACCGCACAGACATGAGACAACTCCAGTAGTAATTATCTCAAACTCATAAATCACTGTGGAGCTCAGTCTTCGGCCTGTTCATCCCAGCTTGCAGTTGCCGAGTCCTCCAGCAAAGAAGGCCCCACTTTCGCTTTCTTTTCACCTCTGCTCGCAGATTCTCTCGAGCCTACGATTTTTTGGACAGGCTATTTCAGGGGCTCTGTGTAAGAGCTCAAACTGGAGATAACAGTCTGTGGCCCCACCCTCCGTCACCCCCTCTTCCTGCTCTTTGTTCTTTGCTCTTGCTGCAGCTTGGCTGCTCCTCCCCTGCTTCACCTTCCAACTGAATCATATCTCTTGCGTTCTCAGGCTCTGTCAGCGGAGGCACGAGAGGCTTGAGATTCACAGAGCTGACACCCTGTAATTTTGTCCGTTCCTAAGCTTCCATGGAGATACTGTGGTACAACCTTGGTGCAAATTTCAAAATAAGTACACAAAGCCAACAAAGAGACTCAGAGGTTTATAGTGGCACCAGCTTTCCTGGTCAAGAGTCCACTTTGTCAGACTGCAGCCCACAAAAGCTTAGGCCATAATACATTTATCTGCCTTTAAGGGCTGCAAAAGATGAATAAACAGAAGCGTAGTTCATCTATGGAATCTATCCTACAGGAGACAGTGACGGCCAGCAACATGGATAGCTTGAAAAAAAGGATAAGACTGGCATCTCTGCTCTGCCCTCGTGGTCCTAGGCGATAATGCTTCTTAATACTAGTTTCTGGAAAGCACAGGAGGAGAACTTTTGTGCTCCAGTCCTGCTTGCCGGTTTCCCACAGGCATCTGGTTGGCCTCTGTGAGAAGAGGATGCTGGACTAGGTGGGCCTTTGCCTGATCCAGCAGGCTCTTCTTAGGTTCCAATATATTGCAATATTTCTACAGTTACATGTAGCACTTAAGTTTTACTTATTTCACAAGGGAAATACTGTTACTTGAGCCTGAGATCATTTCTTCACTTCAGAAAGAAAAAATAGATGTGTCTAATAAGCCAATTCCACCATAGATCTGTATTATAAAACGATGGTGGTTTATTGAGTTTGAATGGAGTGATCATGTGTTGCTCCTGCCACTATCTCATCAGCTTTCATAAAATTTGGAACCTAGAGAAGATAGTGGAGAATGAAGGTGTTAAAATAATAGAAGGTACAGATTGGGATTGACATGTGTTCAGTTCCCTTTTTGTCTTTCTTGAAAGTCTAACAGGATTCTCTTTCCCCCCAGACTCCCAAACAGGTGAGGAAGATGAAAGTCAGAATTCTATGAAGCCACATGTGAATTTATGGGGGAAACAAAGAAATTGAGGATACAACAAAAAGGTCACAAAGGAGAGAAACTATTTGAATGTACGGCATGTGGAAAGAGCTTCAGTGAAAGTGGAGAACTTCGAATACACCAACGAACTCACACAGGGGAGAAACCATTTGAATGTTTTGAATGTGGAAAGAGCTTCATTAGAAGTGAACACCTTAGAATACACCAACGAACTCACACAGGGGAGAAACCATTTAAATGTATTGAATGTGGAAAGAGCTTCAGTCGAAATGGTACACTTAGAATACACCAACAAACTCATACAGGGGAGAAACCATTTAAATGTATTGAATGTGGAAAGAGCTTCACTACAACTGGGAAACTTAGAATACACCAACGAACTCACACAGGGGAGAAACCATTTAAATGTATTGAATGTGGAAATAGCTTCAATGAAAGTCAAACTCTTAGAGTACACCAACGAATTCATAAGGGGGAGAAACCATTTGAATGTGTGGATTGTGGAAAGAGCTTCAGTCGAAGTGGAACACTTAGAATACACCAACGAGCTCACACAGGGGAGAAACCATTTGAATGTGTGGATTGTGGAAAGAGCTTCAGTCGAAATGATACACTTAGAATACACCAACAAAGTCACAGAGGGGAGAAACCATTTAAATGTATGGAGTGTGGAAATAGCTTCAGTCAGTATGGAAACCTTAGAATACACCAAAGAATTCACACAGGGGAGAAACCATTTGAATGTTTTGATTGTGGAAATAGCTTCAGTGAAAGTGGAGCACTTAGAAGACACCAACGAACTCACACAGAGGAGAAACCATTTGAATGTTTTGAGTGTGGAAAGAGCTTCAGTGAAAGTGGAGCACTTAGAATACACCAACGCACTCACACAGGGGAGAAACCATTTAGATGTATTGAATGTGGAAAGAGTTTTAGCATAAGCCGCACACTTAGAATACACCAACAAACTCACACGGGGGAGAAACCATTTAGATGTATTGAATGTGGAAAGAGCTTCAGTCGAAATGATACACTTAGAATACACCAACAAACTCACACAGGGGAGAAACCATTTAAATGTATTGAATGTGGAAAGAGCTTCAGTACAGGTGGGAAACTTAGAAGACACCAACGAACTCACACAGGGGAGAAACCATTTAAATGTATTGAATGTGGAAAGAGCTTCAGTGAAAGTGGAGCACTTAGAAGACATCAACGAACTCACACAGGGGAAAAATCACAGATACTTTAATAAACCGCTTAGGTGTTTTTTACCTTTCAAACCACGCCAATGCTTCCAGCCCCAGAAGAGGAGCTCCCCTTGGTGTCAGGGTAGGGGTCCAAGGGAGCATCTGGAGCCCTGCCATTCCTTCTGTCCCTGGCCCCTTCCCCTCCTCTCTATGCCATCCCAGGGCCACTCTTGACTCCACAGCAGGAGACTGGATCTGTCTGTGATGGTGAGATGTCCTGGCTGGTTGACGGACCACTTCCTGTTTCCTGAAGCTCCATCCTGCCTTCTGATGCAAGGTGGAGTCATGAAGCAGGTGAAGGCTGTGCACACCTAAGGGTGGTGCAGCGGGTGGGTGGGATTCTGCTTAACCTTTCCCCGTCTGCTCCTTTTCTGGATCCAAATCCCCACACAAAAAGGGGTAGTGTGAGGGCGCAATCAGTGTTATGGAGCTGCACTGAAAATCATTGCTTTGTGACCGTAAGAGGCCCTTCTCAAAAAAACAACCATCAAGAGAATTTAAGCTATAGAATTTAAAACAAACAGATAATTACAAAAAAAGAAAGCAGTCTGGTGCCACATTGCGTAGGAGTTACTTTAACACACTCTACCTGGGGCTGCCTTTGAAAAGAGCTCAGAAACTTTGACGGCTCAAAGAGCTGCAGACACATTACTGACCAGGGCTGGCTATAGGCAGCATAGGACTCCCATATTAGAACAACTCCATCTGCCTAATTGTCTGTTTCTGGACACAATCAATGTTTCCACAAGAAGAGGAAGATAGATTTGGAGTGCCGCATTTTCAAAAAAGATGGACACACGACTATTTCTTTGTGGAGCTGAAAGGCATGCCCGTGTGCCTCATTTGTGGTGAGGCCCTCTCTGTCCTGAAGAAGGCCCACCTGCAGAGGCACCACAGGATGAAGCACATCCAGTACCAGGAGTTCCAAGGGCAGCTGTGCCAGGAGAAGGTCAAGGCGCTGAAAACGGACCTGTTGGGTAACCTGTGGCCCCTCCAGATGAAGTGATATTGCAACTCACGTCTTCTTTAGCCGTTGGCCACGCTGGCTGGGGCTCATGGGAGCTGGAGTTCAAGGATCTAGGTCCACAAATGCCGGGGACAATTCAAATCCCTCCTCAGTCGTGAAGCCGATTGGGTGACTTAAAGCTGGTCGCCATCTTTATGCGAAACCTCCCTCGCAGGGTTGCTGTGTGCGTGAAAGCAATATATCTTGTGGTGGGCTTGATGAGGGGAGTGTGGAACAGAAATGTAATTCATAGGTAAGAATACAGGAAATAGTTCTGAATCTGACTGAAAATAAAGGATTCTTTGTCTCTAAATTGCATACAGCAAGCACCTGTGCCTTTCCCCCCTCCCCCCCAAAAAACAACTCAAACATGGTAGCTGGTCTTGTCAAACGGGCCAATATAATGTTCATTTGGCAAGTTTGTTGTTGTTTAGTCGTTTATTTGTGTCCGACTCCTCATGAACCCATGGACCAGAGCACACCAGGCACTCCTGTGGCCCCTCCAGATGATGTCAAATTGCAACTCACGTCTTCTTTAGCCGTTGGCCACACTGGCTGGGGCTCATGGGAGCTGGAGTCCAAGGATAGAGGTCACAAATGCTGGGGACAATTCAAATCCCTCCTCTGTTGTGAAGCTGATTGGGTGACTTAAAGCTGGTCACCATCTTTATGCGAAACCTCCCTCGCACGGTTGCTGTGTGTGTGAAAGCAATATATCTTGTGGTGGGCTTGATGAGGGAATTATGGAACAGAAATGTAAATAAAGCATTCTTTGTCTCCAAATTGCATATAGAAAGCACCTGTGTTGTTGAACTCTAGCTGAAGTCTCAGCATCTGGTTCCTCAGCACTCTGTACTCTCTCTCTGGAAACCTCCAGCTGTCAGGTGACAGGAACCAGCCATTGCCTCCCAGTTCAGAAAAGTCTGCCAAGAGCTGAGACTGGAAGTGGACAACCAGGGAAACTTAGGGGAGCATTTTCATTTCCACGCTTATGAATGTTGATTTGAATCAATTCATCTCATGTGTTCAAAATAGTAGGGAAAATTTATGGTTGACACCACCTTGGGATAGTTTTGACAGGAATTCAGGGAACTAGGAATATTTTTAGTTCCATCAGGGTTGATGGATCAGCAAATAGCTAGAGCGGATTAAGGGGTGGGCGCGGGAATCAGGCCTTCTTTCTCGTGTGACAGTTCTTAAGTGTGACCATTTGCTGCCTCCCAAAATGATGCTTAAGCCTCTCACCCCCCCCCCAAAAAAACACCAACTCAAACATGGTAGCTGGTCTTGTCAAATGGGCCAATATAAGGTTCATTTGGCAAGTTTGTTGTTGTTTAGTTATTTAGTTGTGTCTGGCCTCTGTGAGAACAGGGTGCTGGACTAGGTGGAACTTTGCCTGATTCAGCAGGCTCTTCTTGTTGTTGTTTAGTCGTTTAGCCGTGTCTGACTCTTCATGACCCCATGGACCAGAGCACACCAGGCACTCCTGTCTTCCACTACCTCCCGCAGCTTGGTCAAACTCATGTTCGTAGCTTTGAGGACACTGTCCAACCATCTCGTCCTCTGTCGTCCCCTTCTCCTTGTGCCCTCCATCTTTCCCAACATCAGGGGGGTCTTTTCAAGGGAGCCTTCTCTTCTCATGAGGTGGGCAAAATATTGAAACCTCATCTTCAGCATGTGTCCTTCCAGGGAGCACTCAGGGCTGATCTCCTTCAGAATGGAGAGGTTTGATCTTCTTGCAGTCCATGGGACTCTCAAGAGTCTCCTCCAGCACCATAATTCAAAAGCATCAATTCTCCGTCGATCAGCCTTCTTTATGGTCCGGCTCTCACTTCCATACATCACTACTAGGAAAACCATAGCTTGAACTATACGGACCTTTGTTGGCAAGGTGATGTCTCTGCTTTTTAAGATGCTGTCTAGGTTTGTCATTGCTTTTCCCCCAAGAAGCAGGCACTTTTTAATTTCGTGACTGCTGTCACCATCTGCAATGATCATGGAGCCCAAGAAAGTAAAATCTCTCATTGCCTCCATTTCTTCCCCTTCTATTTGCCAGGAGGTGATGGGACCAGTGGCCATCATCTTCGGTTTTTTGATGTTGAGCTTCAGACCATATTTTGCGGTCTCCTCTTTTACCCTCATTAATAGGTTAATTCCTCCTCGCTTTCTGCCATCAAGGTTGTGTCATCTGCATATCTGAGGTTGTTGATATTTCTTCTGGCAATCTTAATTCTGGCTTGGGATTCATCCACTCCAGCCTTTCGCATGTTGAATTCCGCATAGAAGTTAAATAAGCGGGGAGCAATATACAGCCTTGTTGTACTCTTTCCCAATTTTGAACCAATCAGTTGTTCCATGTCCAGTTCTAACTGTAGCTTCTTGTCCCACATATAGATTTCTTATGTTAAGGAAATTAGGGGGGGGCACATCTTTAAAGTTATTAAATGTTGCAGATATTATGCCTGAATGTATCCTTTCAACTTGACAGCTCAGGGAAGTTACCGTATTTTTTGCTCTATAAGACTCACTTTTCCCCTCCTAAAAAGTAAGGGGAAATGTGTGTGGGTCTTATGGAGTGAATGCAGGCTGCACAGCTATCACAGAAGCCAGAACAGCAAGAGGGATTGCTACTTTCACTGCGCAGCGATCCCTCTTGCTGTTCTGGCTTCTGAGATTCAGAATACTTTTTTTCTTGTTTTCCTCCTCCAAAAACTAGATGCGTCTTGTGGTCTGGTGCGTCTTATAGAGCGAAAAATACGGTACCTAGCTTTAAAAATAACATAAAATCAACACCTTTGCCAGTTTCCTCCATTCCAAAGCTATTTTCCCCTTGAAAAAGGACTCCAGGAAGTGTCCAGGGGTGACAATTGCTGAGCTGGGCCAAGGAAAGCCTAATCCTATCACCAAACGTGCCAAGGGGCCAGACATGCAAAGGAAGTTCTATTGTACTTTGGGTGATGGGACTTCAGAGGTGTTTGCCTATGCTAAGGGAAGTTTCTCTTAGAATTAGGCAAGAGGTTCCACTCTGACAGAAGCCTCAGAGGAGGCTGGATCTTTCCTCATAACTCATCGCTGGAGGCATAAGCTGCAGAGCTCTCACGGAAAGAAGCTTAAACTTGAGAAGCCAGTGGGTTCTTGCTGGAGATGGCTAGGAGAAGCAGCATCAGCAGTTGCAAATAAGTCATGCAATGTTGAAGAAGCTTAGGATCTCCCTCTGGGACCAGGGATAGGAAAGCTGACTGAATTACATAAAGGACTGAACATTGTTTGCAATGTGCTACTTTATCATGCTTATCTTATTGTTAGACTGTTTAAGACTGTTCTGCGGTAAAGCTTCAAAACTTATTTTTGTGATGGAGAGAATTCATTTCCACACAAGGTCCAGATCAGGAATTCCACTGAACAACTTTAACAGCAAGTACTTGAAGGGTACTTCAACAAGTACTTGAAGGGACGCGGGTGGTGCTGGTTGTTAAACCACAGAGCCTAGGGCTTGCCGATCAGAAGGTCGTGGTTTGAATCCCCGATACGGGGTGAGCTCCCGTTGCTCGGTCCCTGCTCCTGCCAACCTAGCAGTTCGAAAGAACATCAAAGTGCAAGCAGATAAATAGGTACCGCTCTGACGGGAAGGTAAACGGCGTTTCCGTGCGCTGCTCTGGTTCGCCAGAAGCGGCTTAGTCATGCTGGCCACATGACCCGGAAGCTGTACGCCGGCTCCCTTGGCCAGTAAAGTGAGATGAGCGCTGCAACCCCAGAGTTGTCTACAACTGGGTCTAATGGTCAGGGGTACCTTTACTTGAAGGACCAAACCAAGAATTACAACAATCTCTTCCTCAAAATGGTTCAGCCTCCACCACCTTTACTGCAGTCAACTGAAGGCAACCAACTATGCCCTGGGCCCCCCGATCTTTCTCACTGCCAATGAAAACTAATAAATGAAAAGGAAGAGAAGCTACCCATATCACACTGACACAAACACCTTG